GGGAATTTGTACGGTTGCAATCGGATGAATCCGAGAAACACGATAAACGTCTTCTTGCCCCAGACTTTCTGCTGATAAATCGCATTGAAGAATCATCCCTGCTTTCCACATCCACATTGTTATTAGTTTCACTCATCTTGATTATAACGGTATAATATTTAGTTCTTTAAAAACAATCAGGGAGTAATGTTGAAAAGACCAAAAAATATGTAGTCCGTGTAATATTGGTGAAGTATACGGTAACATTCAGCGTGAGAGATCACCGTTATACTAACTACCGTCTGCATTGCGCTTCTCTCTATCCGTTTGCTGATGCGATTTTATTACTCATACTGTTGAAAGGGGGAAAGCATCTTCGGCTGTTTAAAAAAAAAAGCGTCGATGTACGGCCGCAACAGATAATCCAATAATACTATACTGCCAGGTATTCGTCTACGATTTACATTAGAGTATGGAGTTAATCAAAATGGCTTCTGAAATAAATGACTTATTATTCAATCCCCAAAAAAATGTTGCCGTTTAATGGTGTTAATCTCTATCAATCAGGAAAGATATTATAAATATAAAAAGTTATGACTATACCAAGTGCTTTGACCTCCAAATTTAAGATTTTTCAAAAAGTGGAGTTAATCGATGTGTGCACTGAGCGGCTCGTTTGTAGGTGGGAGGTCCACCCCGTTCGGCGATCGATGGGATCAATACCCTGTAGAATTTGTCAAGGCCTGATTCAGGAGCACCTGCAAACCGTTCAGTCCGATTGCAAAATTCGAGATTGTCGCAGGAGCCACGCCGGGAAGAAAAAAAAAACGAGAACCCGCCACAATAGTTGCATTTATTTCCCACGTCTCCCTCGGTTCGTTTCAGCAATGGATGGATACATCGGACTCGTTACGTCTCCGATAGCTCGCCAAACGACCGGCAATTTTCTCTGGCCCTGCGGTCGAACCGTTTCGAGCCGGTCCCGAGCGGGTTTCTTACGGCCAACTTGCTTCGTTAAAGAATAACGCGACCAGTTTTCATGCCGCGAATTATATAAAGGTTACTTAAGGCCGTTGCGATTCTTACACACTCGGAAGTAAGTGCGCCCCATACATCAACCAGGAATAGAGAGTTCTCTCCGTAATACTTGGGAGCACAAAGCTGTTTGTTGTGTCGACGCAGTAAACCAAATACTAGAAAACCGAGTCGAAAGTGGCGCCCGGTTTTTTTGATATTGTATAACATTTATGTTTAAACATTCCAAAGGATCGTTCGGCTCAGAAATGAAATTGGAGCGGCAACCTTGAAATTTAAATAACAGAATCGAACACGTGTTCGAAAAGTTCCTTTTTTCTCGGTTTTTCGTATTGTCCTTTCTCTTTTATCGACAACATACCGAGGACACAATCGACACCGACGAGCTATTTATCGGATGTTATAAAACACGATCTTATATAATATAAATTATACAAAGACTGGACCAGTGAAAACTCTCGAGTACCCAGCAGCTCTTTCCGATGTTTTTGGCTAGTTTCCCATAATGGCCAGTTTTAGTCGACCGCGGTATCGAATCTGGATTTCTTGGCTGAAAAAAATACCAAGTGGGAAATAATTTATCGAGAGCAGAATTTCAACTTTGAGCGGAGATTTTACATATCGAATTTAAAGTCTAGTTTCTGAGAACAGGTTTCCCTGCTTCAGGAATTTCAGTAAAAGACAGGTTTCGAAAGAACTTTGGACAAGCCTTGAGCAAGGAATTCTTCTTACTTAATTTTCTTTTACTCCGTACGCCTTTCATTAATATTCGAGATTTTAGGAAATGAGAAACTACTTTCTAGCTTGAGATCGGTAGAACAAACGAAATGTAGATCAGCGTTTTATGTAGGTGTTGAAACTGGTTTGAAAATAGTTAAAGTGGGTGTATACCCGGAACTGGTAAACTGTCTGGGTTTCTATATATACGGATGCATTTTGAAGGCCAGAGGAATTGTATAATAACGAAAGAGAAAGTAAACATTGCAAAAAAGTAATATTCCTGTAAAACATGTCCAAGAAACTCGATAAGGTTTCAAACCAAATACAGTTAAGCAAGAAACTTGTATTATCGCATGTTGAGCGAAACGCACTTTCTCACACGGAACAAATATATATATTATACGTGTATAAAATATCTGGCATTGACACGTATATGTGAAGTAGACGCATATAATAATATACGAAATGTGCTGGGGCATGTATGCGTCGTCTACAGTTAGTGTACGTATTTTTTAACGTTCAACGAACATATAATATACGTCCCACACGAAAGAAGTTTCATTATTATACGTGTACAAGATATGAATCATTGTACAGAGAAAAATCAGATGTACAGAAAAAAACGTCCGAAGAACTGAATGACGCAGTTCGACTGCATAGTTTCCAAGTAGAATGGAAACAATTTCAGTGATACCTCCACAATAGAATACAGTTTATCACCGTAAAATACGACTGTTCGATATTTCCTGTATATTACACGATTCCATGTAGGAAACTATGGACGAACTAACCCACGGTTTCGAAGTAACATCGATAAGTAGGTGGAGCCTGACCGTAATAATAATGTATGAAGCCGGAACAAGCTGCGTCAATACATATCCCAGATCGCCCTATCGCTCCGATACATTCTTTTATGGGTCGTGACAAACGGTTTCCGTCTTTCTACCACCGCTTGCGATCTTTCCATTATCCTAAAAGGATACGAGTAGTAAGCAAAATCCTCCTCGGTGGAGTATTCGACTGTCCTTGTCGGTAACGTTTTGCTACCGAATTTGCTTCTACCTGCGGTTTCCTTATTTCTGCAATGGTTTACTGTTCTTCGATCATCCTGAAAAGACTGCTATAAATACGACCAAGCAGGACTGATGTCTTTGGTGAAACATTCAACTATCCTAGTTAATTAAGTCTTGCTACCGAATTTCCTCTGAACGGTTTCTGTGTTTCTTACGATTTTCGAAATGAATATAAATGCATTAGAAACCTGAAGCGATTGAAACAAGTACGAAGAGTTGAAACACACTGCAGAAAGTTCTTGATGGAGCATTAAATTGTCCTGGTTAAGGTGAAGTGAAACACGTCGAGGAACTTGATCAACGTCAATAAAGAAGATTTTTCTAAATGCCTACGTTGCCGACGTTTGTTTTTATATTGACAGCTGTATCGAATTATATTGGGCATTGTACCAAATGGCATACTCCACCTGTCGTTTTCGTACAATAATTATAAAGAAATCGAAGTAAAACTCCAGAAATCCCCCGAATTCATGCTTTCTGGGGGCCTCATTCACTGCAGAGGGACCCCCTGCGCCATCTGTGATTTTTAGGTCAATTAAATTTTCACTCCGAGACCTCGTTTTACCATCGTTTTGGCATAGAAGCGCATACAACACTTTTTTTGCCTTTATCTCGTTCAAATGCGAGTTTATCCACTACCAGAGTGTTCTAAATTGTCGTAAAATTGTCCTGACTCTTTCCATTCTCATATCAGAGCCTTCGATAATTGTATATTGATCGAAATATGAGATTTCGACGCCATTTTGGTTCTGGTCTGGGCTGAGTTCAAAAATTAAAAAAAAAATCCAAATGTTGAATGTGTCAGGACAACTCTTAGATGATCAGGAGTGATGTGTCAAAGTTTCGGACAGTTTGGCCTAATACCCTTAAAACAAAGTGTTGTATTCGAATCGACTGATTTGAAGGGGGTTTCACTTCACCTTAACGATAGCGTTTTACTACCGAATGCTTCCGAACGGTCCAGGACAAATTGACATTCTGCACATTCCCTGGCTTTAACTTCAAATGGGTCACAGCCCCAGGCCGTGATTAGTCTGCACTTCAAAACTATGATTCCTTTGCTGGGAAAGAGTCCAATAACTGGACTCTGTTCTGTAACCAATTGTCAACTTTAATAATCCATAAACCCCCAACGGACCGATCACAATTATTACTTGGTTGCATAGTGACTGTTAACATTAACGATGTCAGGTACGAAGGTGGAAAGACACACCGAGATAGGCGAAACAAGTTGTGAACGGTAATAGGCGATCGTTTATTTCTAACTGGGTTCTGACCATTTTAAGTCGTTATCCGATTCTTATTAATTTTGTACAATTTAATTTGTTGTCAGTCATTTTTTATTTCACTTTGAATTATTTTCTGAACTCGTTGAATCCATTTTGGTACTACAAATAAGTGATATTCACTTAACGCGCCATTAATGCTGCAAAAATTGTAAAACGGAGATGAAGCATTTTACGATCACTCCAGAAATCCAGAAATTAGTTTGGAGGTTAGTAGCACGTGCCTCGCATTAAATTTAGCGTAAATTTTCCGAATCGTTGACTCACGTCTCGATCACCTCGAATCAATATCGTCCCATTGTCGCCAAACAGTTGCGATCGCGTTGCGCCAAACGGAAATTCACTTCGGATATTTGCAGATTCATAAGACACGAACTTCATCATAAGATAGAAATCCAAAGACACATACTTAACCTACCTCAATGATCATCTCCCGTCAACGTTCCCATTCACCTCGATCCCTCGAATTTCCTATCCGAAATCCCCGAGGAGCTATTCACTCGGAAATCAGTGAAAACGATTTCCTTCATTGAGAATCGATTGTCTTTGATTTCATATAATAAACAACAATGCGATCGACAACAAATGACAGTCGGCCTTAAAGTCGTGGCTATGTTTTGGTGATTTCAAACGAAATCCAGTGATTTCTGTTTACGATTTCTACGAGATTTCGAGCATTAAAATCCATGATTTCCTGAGTGAATAACCCCTCGGAAATTCCAAGATTTCCCAAAGTCTCCCACGCTTTCGCGTTTTCTATCCACATTCAGGATCCAGCAACATGGCAACAAGATCAAGGGAAACCGCGAAGGTTTTCCCCACCTCGAGTGGGCCATTTGGGGCCCGATGTCCCCAAGTCCACGACCGAAGAAAAAGAATGCTTTCCTGAAATTGGAACATATCGGTGAAACTCGCGTATTCGGAGCATTTGCGTTACCGTATCTCCACAAGGTAACCGTACGACCAGGAATCGAATAGATAGTGAAAGTCCCTGCGAGTCAGTAGGGGATTGGGCGGGGCGGGGACGGGGCCCAGTAAGGTATATGAGGGCCCCAGTTCGGAGCCCGGCCGGTACTCTAGCCTCGCTGCCTACTTACACACATACACACACGTATATTTATACACACACATACACACAAACCTGGCATTATGTACACCCTTGTGACGGTACGTATCGTCGAAACGCTCATCGCGATTGGCGGGTCCCCTGGAATTTCGGGCCTGTAAGGCCCGAACAACAAGTGTGATCCGAGTGTCGACCGAGCCGCGTTGTGGACTTGTGAACAGTGTACCACCGGAGTGTTTCGCTATGGATACGAATAGTTATTCCGATCACGTCCGTTCACTACTCGGAGTGAAGCGCGTAAGAAGAAAGTCCCTGAAAATGATGAGGAAATTCCGGGCGAAGGAAGGGTTTTAAGGTTAAATGGGCCCTATTGGCAAAGTCGGGCTGTAAAGTTCGAGTAATCGGAGACTCTGAGTAGAATTATCATTATTTGTATCGTTAATAATTACCTGCTGACGATAATCCTTGAGTTTTGATGGCGCGTGGTTGATTGCAAGTCGGGTAAAAAGGGATCTGACAGTGATTGGTCGTGATTCGCAATTAAGCTCCTGTCATGTCTGACGCTGGGCACACAATCACCGTTCTGAGGGACTCGGTGACTTTTCGGCTTACTTTCCGTAGAAAGTGACTTCTGCAAAAAGAGCCTGGTGTCGATGTAGTCAGGAAATCCAGCTGTAATTGGTGTTACGTGGGTCAGCAGTGTTACATGAATTGCTCGGGTTCGATTACTGGCATTGCTGCAGTCATTGAAATTATCGGTTTCAGTCGAAGATAATTGTCTCGAATCTTTTTTTCCAGTAATTCCATAATTAAAGAAAGGCTTTAGTATCCTGAATGGAGAAATAATTGCGTTATTAGTACTTCCGACTCCACCGAGACATCACTGTTAAACTATCTGGAGTAAGGATCATATAAAAAAGAATTATTTCCCAACGAATATAAACTAGCAGTAAAATCACAGTTGGGTTAGTCGACATTTTAGATGATTGACGTGATTCAAGAGATCATCAATCGTGTTCCATTCTTCAAGAAAACTTTCCAGCTCTGAATCGATGCAAATACCACTTTCTGCCCTTGAGGATCTTAATGGACACGCGTTCTTATCGTTTAAAAATAATCGTGACTTCATTACTCTTACTTCAATTATTCTTAGCACTTTCAATACCACGATTAAATTCCAAACTTTTAATCCTGAGTCAGCAACAAAAAATAATATAAATATCGATTGAATAAAAGTGAACAGATAAAAGGTCCAAGTGTTCCGGAGTCATTACACAACTCGAGAAATTGCACCACTCCGGATGCAACAATCAATTACCACAAACGAATTAATTACCATCCCAGCAAGTCGGTCTCAAAAAACCGAAAGGTGAAGTCAATGAAACTTAAAGGAGCGTAACACGGAATGTTTCACTGAAAGCGACGAAACCGTTAAGTTATCGGTGATTACCATACACGTGCGTTTTTATCGACCTTATGTCTCTGCTACAATTTTGGAGTGAAATCTTAAGAAACGGTATGCACTATCGAGCACGCCCGTTGCACGCGGAAGTTGGATCCTTTTTCTTTGGCAACTTTCACAATGCGATTTGCATGCTCTTCTTTACTGAATTAACCAGCGCCTAGCAATTGAATAACTCGATTATCCACGGAAATCACGAAAGAAAGTCAATTAGAGACAAGTGATTACGGACTTTCCGTAGGTTTCACCTAGGATGTACCACTTTTTCCTAAAGTCAAGGTTAAAGACGTAACGATGCACCTTGCCTTTCTCTAGATGCACATCTTCAGGATACTCTAAGTAGGTGACGTTCATTATCGCCCACTTCTCTCCAACTTCCACTACACAAAAACTTCTGTGGATTTAAAATTCTCGTTACAAACTGTAAAATACATTTAAGCATTTGTAAAAACATTGCTTACTCTTTCAACCTCGTCTAGAATATTTATTAGAAGGTGAGAATCTGCAGTGCATCCATGCATCAAATGCATTGCCTACTGTAGAAGTACCCTTTCGGTTCACTCGAGAAACAGTCGAAAACAGACGTAATCCGAGTAATATCCAATCTGCGGTTTTGGTAATATGTCGAAGTGGTCGAGGTAACCTCGAGACGAGGGTTTCATTTCCATCATCAAGATCATCATGTCGGTTCCCGTCTGCAACTCTGCGGGGAACGTAATCGCCACTCTGTGGGATTTCTTCTCGCCGATTCTGCTCATCTTAAACACTGTCAAATTAGTCTTCTTCTATTTCATCTTGAAAGGGATTCGGGAATTTTGGTTCGAGGATTTCTCCCGAAAGCAGCAGCAGGTGCAACGCTGTGCCCTTCTGTCGTCGAAAATGATTAACGCCAAATCGGCGCAAGTCAAATTATCGCCGATGTCGGTCAAAGTGGATTTCCAGAGTCCAGCGAGCTTCTAACAAGGCGAGACTTAGAATTTCATAAAAACTTAATTAACCATTTTTATACATTTGGTTTTCCATACAAGTATACCTGCATTGAGGTGAAAATCATAGAAAAATGATATAGTCGAATGTGAAACGTTACTCGGTATGTAAAGTATTCATAGTGTTCCGAAGGACTCATCGTGTTTAAACACTGTTTTAATTGCACTTTTTAAATGTCTACAATTTTAAGGAGGTCACGATTTAAACGCAACTGCACTGAGAACAAAATTTCACTGAACCAAAGAAATATTTTATTAATTCAAAGAATAATTATTTGGCTCAAATAATCTCAAATAAATTGGATGCAACGTTTCTTCGGAATTATGACAATTTGTTTGAGTTTATTTTAGTCAACAGTTATTCTTTGAATTAATAAAATATTTCTTTGGTACCATTCAAAGATATTTCATTAGTTCAACGACATTTTTTCCTCGGGGTGTAGACACTGTTTATGAGGAACTAGCAATTGCAACGATCGGCACTTTAACAAAAGTAGAATCGTAATTACTCGACACATACATTTTTAATTGCAGACCGCGTACGTGTATGTCAAACGGTGACATAATTATTACAGCATCAACATATAATTACCACAGTTAATGCGAAGACTCTTAGTATTATGAAAGGTCCATTCTATACATATCGAAACGTCGAGATATGTATGAAACTTTTCTCCAAACTGGGTGCACCGAATCATTTGAAAGTTCAGCACGTGATTCCGGAGACCCTAAGAATGTCGCGATGCTCGTGAAATTTCATTTATAAAAAGAAAAATTTGTTTATCCCAGACCGGAACCAGAAACAGATTTTTTTTTTTAATTAAATTTCATGAGCATCGCGTTCGTCCTTAGGGCCTCCTTAATCACACGCTGAAGTTTCAAATGATTCATTGCACCCACTTTGAAGAAAAATGTTATGAACACTTGGACGTTTTGATGTATATAGAATGACCCTTTCATAAGGTTCATTTTCACTTACTAAAAAAAATATTAATTTAATTAATTTGTTACGTATTAATTCGTAATAAAATATGGCTTCACGTTTACTCGCGCTTTAAAATTTAAATAATTGTAACCGCATAAATAAGAAATGTTACAGCGAGCAGAGCATAGAAGAGCCGTGAAATAAAACGAAGGTCCGGGTAATGTCGGCAGATGCCCATTTGAATCCGAGTGACCAACATTAATCGCTAAGACCTCGGTAAATAAGCACTCGAAGGAAATTTCATCACCTTCCCCCAGTTTCAGGTGTTACCTCGAGTTGTGCGACACACCGGGCAATGAACCGATAAATACTTGACAGAGTATCGTCAATTTCCAGGTACTCTTGGTGGCAGTGGCCGCGGTGTCGGCTCAATACCAGCAACCAGGAGGCAACTACGTCGACGATATCCCGCAGTACGAGGCAGGACGACCGGGTCATCTCGCTCCCAGAAGTTACGCGACCTCGGACTCGCCAGCGGCGCAAAGGCAGACAGCCGCGGCCAGTCCGAAGCCTACGCCGGTGGCGATCCTGAAACAGATCAACCGACACAACGAGGACGGGTCGTACACTTACGGATTCGAGGGGGCTGACGGCTCCTTCAAGATCGAGACCAAGCTGGGGACCGGCGAGGTGAAGGGCAAGTACGGCTTCGTGGACGACACCGGCAAGGTCCGCGTGGTGGAGTACGGGGCGAACCAGTACGGATTCCAGCCGGCCGGAGAGGGCATCACGGTGGCTCCGCCGACCCTGGTGGACGAGACCACCAGCAAGGAGGCCCTGGAGGCGCAGAACTACCAGGACTACCAGGACTACCAGTCCAGATCCTCCCCGGCGCGCGCTCCGGCCAGGGCGGCACCGGCGCCCGTGACGCGACCACGGCCCGTGTATCAGGGCCAGTTCGAGCAGCCCCAGTCCCACACTCAGGCCATTTACGCCCAGGAGCAGCTACAGCGAGCGCAGGTTCAGTCCCTGCCAAAGCCCGCGATCTTCGCGCCCGCCGGGGGACCAGCCCCCCAATCTCGGGCGCCGGCCTACCCCTCGGGCCCGGGGCCGTACGGGGCTTCCAGACCTCCCTTGCGCCAGTCGCAACTGATCCAGCCCGCTGCCTACGACGAGCCCGCCCCAGTCTCCCAGCAGTACAACCAGGGCCCCGTTCAGTTCAGCCCGGCCCCGGAGCAGGCGCCCCGGAGCCAGCCGCAGGCGCGCAGCCACTCCAGTGGCGGGATCTTGGACCAACTTGCCAGGGACTACGCGCTCCCACAGGGTGGAGCCGCGCCCTTGCACGACATCAGCTTCGGATACTACTAAAACCTGGTTCTCCGCGAGTTTCGGGGACTTTCGGCTCCTTGGGATGACTCTGGATGGACTCGTCCCCGCCAAGCCGGTCCTGTCGCGCCTTTCCGATAGACTGAGGCCCGCGCCTGAGGACTCGCTCTGGAATCGTCTAGCGTCTTCTCTCGTTAGAGCCCCTTATTTTTCCATTTCCTTCCCGGCCGGCATGTAGAACATTGGTTAACCACTAAGGAAGGTGCGGATGCGCGCCTGGGAGCACGACGTTTCACCTGGAGGCCTCGGTGGTTCGATGTACCCCAAATTTTCAATGGCTTGAAATAAATGCGAAACGGTACCTTGAGGAAGAGCGTGGTATTTCGGTAGGTTGAACGTTGTAATGGTAGGTATACGCCTAACGACAAATCGTAGCGACCTGTAGTCCGTGCGATTTAATCGAGTTCTTCTTTAGCGTCCACGTATTGTTCATGCGTTTGTCAAATCTATGCAGATCGGTTTACAGTGATGTATCGCGACGTTTTATCGTTTTGCGTATAGCGATCTTCTCGTCGATTGTGTTTGGCGGTACCGGTCCAGGTGACTAAACGCGTGACGACAAATCGTAGCGATTTATAATTTGTGCAGTTAAATTAACGTCATGTAGAGCGTACATGAGTGATTCGTGCGTTAGTTAAGTCTGTACAAATGTGCGTAAATTTATCGAGACGATTTATCGTTGGGTGTGACCACCTTAACGTGATCCCTCGATTGCCTATTTGTTGTTACGAACTTTGACGTTTTGCTACTTATTTGGCTTGGGCAGGAGTTGGATGGAATAAGAGTTTTCGGTTAGTATCTGCATGTCTACTTATTTTCTGTTGAATAACATTGACTTAATGATTTCCTGATACTGATCGGATTTGAAAGAATTTAATAAAAAATATTTTTGACTTGTAAATTATGACACAGTTGACATTTAGAAAACTAAAAGTACTCTTGCCTGCATTTGAATATAGACGGTTCCAACAAATAACTTGTTAAAAGTCGAGAGTATAAAAGTAACCTTTTTTACATATATAATGAATCGTAACTGTTGTAATATAAGTGTTCGAAGTTTGTTGGTTCTCCTCTGCTTCAACTGTTTCCAAGATTATTACGAAGTATGTACGTGCTAATTCTTATGTGCAAGTTATCGAGATTATTACGACGAATGAAATACTGTGCTTAAATGTTAATTACGAGTCCCCGAGCATACAGAATTTTCTTCTTAACCCCTTCGATCCTTATTCCATTCAACGCCTTAATTCAGACGAACAACTGACTTTTCTTCTCAGTTTTAGCACTAATGAATATATTTAAATGGTGTTGGAAATACTTTATACAGGAAGGAAGGAAACCGGAAGGTTCGATTTTCAACAACCAGTCATTAATGCTAGACGAAGGGAAATATTGCTTCAAATTTGTATAAAATTAAATTTAACTAAATTAAAATAAATTAAGATTTATACGGAATTTTTATAAAATGGATAAACTACACGAACAAAACTGAAAATTAACTCTCAAAGGTAGACTTCGGTCCTCCATGTCCAGGACTCTAAATGGTGACATAAAATTTGAGAATGTAGGATAAAAACCGCAGGTATTTCCCGAGGAATTTCAAAGGCGAATTCCTTGACTTAAGAGTTTCTACGCGTCATTATCGACTGTCAGTTAGCTCCGTCTTTCATGGTGCCGTGTACAGGGCGTGCACAGCACAAGGAAGCACATTAGCCGAGAATTACACGTGCCAACTTTAAATTTGCTGCTCGAGAAAGGTAAAAGGGTGTGGCCGACTCGCCTCCAGCAATGATCCTGACATGCGCTTGTGTCACGCAACCTAACAACTTTCTAGACCAAAACCAGAGGGAGAGATACGCGTTTCGAGGCCAATTATGGCGTTTTTGGGATCGGAAACGGCAAGTGTCGCAATGTTCACCAGACACTTCATTACCGAGTTTTTGTATTAACTGGAATCATTTATATGGCACCCTGGATCCAAATTTTACCATCCAAATTTCAACATTAATCGTAGAAAGTTTTATGGCATTCAAGAACGTTTCGTTTGTATTTAATAATATCTATGTTGTCTCATAAACTGAATTAGTGTTTTTTTTTTCTCGTAAAACTTAAGCGATCACATACAGGACCCAAGTAAGTATCAATACAGGCAGTTCATTTTTCTAACTACTCAGATAAGACATTTTCACAAGTTTCTAAAATGCTCGAAGATCCATTAAAGCGAATAAATTATCGAATTACTAATTATTTACACCATTCATAAGGTACTCTGCATCAACATTTTATCATAAAAAATTCTATCGTATTCAAGTATGCATTTTCTTCGCATATAATAATTTCCATATTGTCCAATAATTGGACTCGGCTAATAATTTCAAGTAAAACTGAACTGACCTCACATATGTGCCCATAATTATGAAAGTGGTCTAAGTCAAAATTAAAAAAAAAAATGAGTTTATCAGTTATTTCACGCCATATTATTTCAAACGAAATTAATTCAATGTAATTTCGAAACAAATAATATATGACTTAGACCACTTTCATAATTATGGGCACATATGATCTACATAAGTATCAGACAGGAAACTAAACATTATAAACTGGAACATTATAAACTACATGTTTTAAATACCCAAACAAATAACACATATCTTCACGAATTTCCGAAGTGCCCAAGGATTTCCGTTTTTCATCTACCTCTCCTGAAGAGTGCACCTGTTGCACCTCGACCAGTCTTGCACCAGTGTCGGTCCGTAAGATCTCTTCAGGCGCATTTTCATCACCAAGTGCGCTGGTATTTCACCGACCGAATGAAGAGATTGCACAATCCGAGGACCCAGGGGGTTCAAAAGAAACGGAGAACAAAAAGATATCCCACGGAGCGGACCTCGTTGCGTCACAATTCTAACCTTGTTGTCCTCGGAGATTACGAGTTTTCTTTTCTTTTCGGCAGCCCGCTTCCCAGAGGAAGCGGCGAATAGTGAACCGCATTCCCATTTGTCAAGCTCGGACCTTCGTCGCCCGATTGTCGCCCACTTTGGCGAAGGAGTTCTCCATTAACTTCCACCTTCGAGCTTGCTCGCACAACTGAAGCATCCTTGGATCCTTCGCCCGATAAGACCGGAACGATCAAGTCTAGCTGGCCGGTCCTGCGTTATTATTCCGCTCGTAATGTAACTCGCTATTCTGAAACAATCGCAGGAAGAAGCCCCCATGGTCGCAAGTTGCACTCCCAGAGAAAGGACTGTAAATTCAATTTATTTATTGCGCAGGAATACGAAAGTTAGGACCCCCTTGTAGAAACGGCGGCTTAGCGAGACCGGGGAATCCTCGTTACGGCGGAATCCGACGTAAATGTATAAATTTATGTAATTAGATCCCAGAAACCCGTGGGACCGTTGCTTCTAACACGACATCAAAGGTAGGTTCCCTCCTCGAAAATATCCGTGCTAATTGCTCATTGTTCAAGATATTTATTTTCTGGAAACCGGAGGACTGGGCGAGGCTGAAGAACATGGAGAACCTTCTAAAGAATGGACGATATCCTGCGCTGACTTGGTATGCATACATTGTTTATACACACGGCAACCAGAAAATAAATCCTAATATATTGTATTATTTTTATTTTACTCTTGTTAATTTAAGCTATGTTCTATCATTTATGTCAGAGCATAACCTGCAATAAGTTGTTTGGATCTGAACCGTACTTTCTAACATAGACAATAGGGTAAAACGTAACCTCTTAACCCCATTAAATTCTGTAGAAAATAATACAATAAATAATAAAATGTAAGACCGATTAACCAATGTGTAACAGCATATTTCATTCTAGCAATTCGACTTCAATATTATGCCTCGGTCTTAAGGTAAAGTGAAACATCCTTCAAATCAGTCGATTCGAATACAACACTTTTTTTTAAGGGTATTAGGCCAAACTGTCCAAAACTTTGACACATCACTCCTGATCAGCTAAGAATTGTCCTGACACATTAAAAATTTGGATCTTTGAAAAAAAATTTTTAACTCAGTCCAGACCAGAACTAAAATGGCGTCGAGCTCTCATATTTTGATCAATATACAATTATCGAAGGCTCTGATATGAGAATCGAAAAGGTCAGGACAATTTTACGACAATTTAGAACACTCTGGTAATCGGTAAACTCGCATTTGAACGGGATAAAGGCCAAAAAAGTGTTGTATGCGCTTCTTTGCTAAAACGATGGTACTACGAAGTCTCCGAGTGAAAATTTAATTGTCCTGGAAATCACAGATGGCGCAGGGGGTCCCTTCGCAGTCAATTATGGCCCAGAAGGCATGAATCCAGAGAATTTCTGGAGTTTTACTTCGATTTCTTCATAATTATTGTACGAAAACGACAGGTGGAATATGCCATTTGGTACAATACACAATATAATTCGACACAGCTGTCAATATAAAAACGAACGTCGGCAACGTAGGCATTTAGAAAAATCGTCTTTATAGACGTTGATCAAGTTTCTCGACGTGTTTCACTTCACCTTAACACGCGGTACAACGTCTGCAGGAACGCGAAGAGATTTTCTACAAAAGTTCTTGCGTTATTCGAACAGATACACGCGAGTTCACCAGAAGTATCCATGTCTGATGAAGTGAAGGAAAATCTCAGGTCGGCGGGAATTCCTCCGTGCACTGTGGAGAATCGATTCCTCCCGTCGATATGAGATTTCGTTCGGGTTCGTTCGGGTCGATGCATTTCGTCGGTTTCACTCTATTTCCGCCTCTGTTCTAACAATTTCTCACCGATGTTCTGGCCTCCCCAGAGGACGAGCAAAAGGCGCTGGCTTATCGATCACTACTTTGGAGACTTCGACGCCTGCAAGTTTTTTTCCCCTTTCACTCAGTATGGGAATAACGGAGTCTTTTCAATTGCCAAAGAAAGTGCCGATGAATGGCTTGGCACCGAACCAGACGGAATGTCATAATGCAGTTTTGTTCTTCGTGGAGATTGCTCCATTGGGCGACCTTCTTCGGCGAAACTAACGGGGTGGACAACCTCGCCGAGGTTGCAGGTGTAACGTCATGTGGATGCAGATGTGCACGTTAAGCAAGAAGAACGATGTCACTTGCAAGAGTGACACGTCGCTATCGATTGGGACATGAAAATTACTCCCCTAGTCCGATAGGGGAAAATACGAAATTAATGACATCGATCTTTTGATCAAACTTTCTGACGAGTACTCGATAATTATCGAAGAGGGGCTCGATAATACTTGATCCTTGGGATTTGGCAATTTCTACAGACTGAAAAGTACGAATGTAGACCTGCACGTTGCATAAGCGGAGAGAACAGACGACGGCTGAAAGTCATCAGCTGATTGGCACATCGAGCAATCAGATCGAAAATACATCAGAAAACAAATATAAAAGGTGAGATAGTGTCGGAAGGAGATCAAAAAGAAGTTTTAAACCATTTTACTCGGGCCTGAGAAGAACGTTAACACCGTATTAGGTATTTAAGAATGACACCGACGAAGTAAAAAAAAATAAAGAACTAATTTATGATGCGCTTTAAATTGTTTTTAATTCACTACGAGGATTAATTCGTACTGTCGTTATAAGACAGATGATTCAAATTAATAGCCGTTGTAACTTTATCTCTAGGCCAAATTTCTATCAACAGGGTGCTAATCAGGAAGCGAACGATTATGTCCACGTGGATACATCCTGGTGCAAACTGGTTGAAATTAGTTCGTTTTTCGGCCAACTATCTGCGACTGGATGTCGTAACAGGTTGAAATCTGATTTTGAAATCTTTTTGAATCGAATCTGACAAAACCATGACAGGGTCAGTAATGAACCAAAACCAATCAGAAGGTCTTGCCGTACCATACATTTTTCTGCTCTCTGACTCCTGTTCGACTTACCAGGAAGCTAAATTCCATTTCGCGATTCTGCTTGACAGACAAGCTGACACCCTGAAGAGCTATGATAACTGAAAGATAAAAAAATAATGCGGAAATGTATCGAAAAACTACATTAATTAAACTCGTAATTTTAAATATACACATTCAATATAAATAGCAACTCGGTTAAAACTCCTCCTAACCACATTGTTTCATTTTATAACGACTAATTTTATTTAACAAAATTAGGTTCAGAAAAAAAACTCTAGCAAATTTTCACTTAAGTATACCAATCTAGAATGTCTCAACATATTATAATGTGGACATTTCATAATCCATTCATAACGACAATTCCTAATGACATTCCGTAACGTATCTTACATCGACAAATCTTCGTATTCATTTGGGCTAAATACAATGTTTATAAAAATTTTTCTATTACGTATTTCCGATCAGTTTTACTTGATCTTTCTCG